TGTCAACTTTACAAATTGTCAAAAAATTGAAAATAAGATATATTTAAATATGAATAATTTATAATATATAATAAAAATATACCATAAAATTATAAATAAAATTATACTATTGAAATATAAACAAAAGTTCTTGAAACTATTTTAATAATATTCATAATAAAAATATATGCTTTTTATATACATCTTTTGTGTAATAATTGGTTAAAAAATGGTTCAAATTCAAAAAAATATGATCCTAAAATTAAATCAAGTGATTTTAAGAAACCCCATACTTGACCCATAGTATGGCCCAACTCGCGGATAAATATTATCAAGTGTTGGACTTGTAAATGGCCAAAGTTTGACTATGGGATTTGGACACAACCCATACCTGCCCCATAGTGGCCCAACTATGGATAAAATATTAAAAAATTTTAACCCATACTACTCCCACAGTTGCCATTTTCATGCATATCCTTGCCCCATCCTCTTCTACTATTTTGGCTATCGTGTAAACTACACGGAGAGAAAAATCAAGACGTACTTTATAGTATGAAAAACTATACTGCTACTTTTGTATGAACTTTTTTTTACTAATGGAGCAAATATTTAAGAATTTTTATTATAATATTTGTCCGTACTAAAGATACATAGTATATATGCTTTTATAGTAAGAAAGATGTGTTTTAATAGCAACAACTGTTATGAATATGTTTATTTAAAAAAATTATCTATTTTTATTAATTTCTTTTCTTCGGTCATAACAACCAAAATAAATACAAAGAAAATCAAATCTTATATTTATTAAGTTTTTAATTTATGGGATCGTTTCCTGGATCGATAGAATATCATTATTATTTCTCATATGTCTATCTCTATTGATGATTAAGGATAGGCTGAATAAAACAACTCTATAAATTCATTTGTGTTTATTACATAAAAATTAACTTTTCATAGAGATTCTATTACAATTTAGTTTTTCCTTTAATTATCAGTCCATTAAGAATTTAAACATGAATTTGGTTTCGAATTATATTTTGTTTGTAATTTCAAAAACTTTTTTTATTTTTTGCTTCCTCGTGGAGGAAGCTTTGTAGTCCTTTCGTTTATAAAACTTTTCAAAGTGGCGGAAACAAATTTTTTTCTTTATAGAAACATGTTATATGAGATCCTGATCAATTGTCCGGATGTATGCATGTGTGTGTATGTGTGTGTGTGGATCCCTTTTTTGTTTAGAAGATAACTTTAACAGGTTTTAATGGATTTAGCTGAAATTTGGTAGGCTCATTTATCATATTAATATCTCAAATCTGATCAAAGGATTTTGAAAAATACTTCAAAAAAAAAATTTTATGGTCTTTTTTCCAAAAATTTTTAAATACAAAAATTTAAGGTTATATATAATAAAATCGTATTCCTTACGTTAAGACGAATCTATCGATATATATAAAGTATACATTTGAGGTAAATTTAAAGAATTAATGAAAGTTAAAAAATCAAAAATTCACATCTTGGCAATAAAATTTTGCTTTCTCCACGAGGAATAAATAATATTATTTTGAAAATAAAAAAATTGTAGGTTATGTGTACACAACCTATATGCAGTTTTAAAACATTGAAAGTAATTTTACATTTTTCACAGCGTAATAAAATTGTAATTGTTTAATTAATTAATTGTGTTTTAAATATTTTATATATATATATATATATATATATATGTATTTATAATTTTTAGTTCGTATTTGTTAAATATATTGACTCCGTACTTCATTTGAAAAGGACTTGAAAAAGGTAATAATATATTAATTTTATTTTTAATGTCTAGAATTTGAAGTGTTTTAAAAATAATTAAATTTCAAAAGGTTTTAAAATGAAATTTTTGGAATATTTGAATTACTGTATAAAAATAAATAATAGGTAATATTTAAATATTTATTTCTAAAAATTATGCAAAAAAAATTAGGTTTTTCAAGAATCACACTTTTTGCAGATAGTTGTATTTTTGAAAATATGAAATTGAATGATTTTTATATAATTTCAATTTTGAAAAATTGTATTGAAAATGATTAAACTTTTAAAACAATTTTATTAAAGCTTTTGAAAACAATCGTTTTTTTAAATGTTTTAAATGCAAATAATTAAATATTACAAAAAGTCACAATTGAAGTTATTCACAAATATGTGTATTTTACAAGCATTTATTTCTGTGTATTTCATCAATTTTACTTTCAATCTGAATATTATAATTCTTTAAAAAAAAACCTTAAAACATTTAATTTTTTGGTTCTGTGTATTTTTATTAATTAATTTACTACCCAAAATAATTAATTCTTTTTTGTGCACTAGACGAATAATTAAAACATCTTATTGTGACAATTAATTGACAGAATAGACACTAAATTATAAATGTTTAATTAAAATTTTCTTACAGCAAGGATGATAAACTATTTTTTTGTTCTAGTGATTGTGCACCAATGGTTAAACCTACTGCATTTAGTGCAGAGGTATTTGCATCAGAGACAAATTACAAATCGTCGATGGTGGGTGAAACCACAAATAACGAATTTCATGCGCGACAATTATGGGTCATATGAAATGCTGTTTTTATATTACGCTAATAACGACTCTGAGGAATTCTACAACATGGTCAGAATGGACGTGCAATGTTTCCATAAATTGTATAATATGCTGCACTTCAGGCTAATTAAAACTAGTAGGAGGAGACCATTGAGCGGAGAAGTTAGACTTTGCATTACAGTAAGGTGAGTTGAACTGTTTATTGAAAAGTAGCAAAAATAAGCAAGCACAAGCGAATCTTTTTTACGGTCGATTGTTGTACTTACAGCTACCTTGCTCACGGAGATAGCTTCTTTTCCACAGCGAATTTGTTTCGTGTTGGTAGGAGTACTACCTACCAAATTGTAGGTGAAGTATGTCCGTTAATTTGGGAACTGTTGTCGCCAATTTACCTCGCCTGGAAGTCAGCAGAAGAGCTGATAGTTGTAGCTGAGGGCTTCCATAGAAGATGGAATTTTCCCCATTGTTTAGGAGCCGTGGGTGGTAAAGAAATAAGGATAAAAGCTCCTCCCCATTCAGGGAGCATGTTTTATAACTATAAGAAATTATTTAGTTTTAAATTACTCGCCATGTGTGATTCCTTTTACCGTTTCATTTGGGCAAACGTTGGCGATTACGGTAAATTATATTCCAAATAAATTCAAAATTATTTATTAATTAATTCTTATTGCATATCAATAATTATATACTTTTTGAATTCCTAAGGTTCCATAAGCGATTTGTCTGCGTTTCGAAATACCCAGTTATTCCAAGCACTGGAAAATAATGAAGTAGACCTTCCCGAAGATGATTTTTTGCCACGTAGCAACATCAAGATGTCATACTTTTTCATCGGAGATGCAATTTTCGATATAAAGAAGTTTTTTATGATACCCTACAATCGGAATAATCGTCTTTCCCATGAAGAAAGCACTTTCAATAAAAGGTATTTTAATTAAACTACAGTATTTATGATTCATTTCTGTGTGTTGTTTCAAAGTTAGTTAACAAAAGATATGTAGAATACTAATAAATCTCATAGTTTAGTGTTACTGTATTGCACTTTACCAAAAATTGATTATACTTAAGAAATAGTTCCTTATAACTACAAAATTTTGACATTGCTGAAAAGAATTGTCAACTTTAATATTGAAACAAAAAATTTTTTTTTCCTTGAGAAGTTATTATTAATATTATTTAAAATCACCAAAATTTCCTGGAACTTATCATTTTAGAGATTTTTTTTTTATAGAAATGAGCATTTGACAGAAAATTATTTATTATACAGATATGAAAAACCAGTCATAAAAATGATCAATTTCCTTTACAAATAGGCCTATTTTACAAACGACCCTTTTAAAGGAATTGTAATTCTACCGAATCTTCATCCATACAAATTGGAATTTAACATAATCAAGTTGACAAATTTTTGTCTACATGAAAAATTGGACTTATCTATATGGGCGTGTATTTGTGGTGAAATTTGGAAAATTTTAAAGGAGCTTCTACAATACCTCCAAAAAGCAAGTCCAAGTTTTTTTTCCCTATAGACCAACCTATAGAAAAAAAACTTGCACTTGGAGTTGGACTTGCTTTTTGGAGGTATTGTAAAATCTTCTTAAGACGCCTTACACCACCCCTTTTGCTGCATAAACCGCAGAGTCATAACATTTCAAAATTTATAATGCTCCAAAATACACCAACATTTTTTAAAATTAAAAATAAAAATTTTTATATGTTTAATTATATTAATTGCATCTATAATTAAATTAAAATTTCTCTTTAAATAAAATATAATAGATTATTATACAGTAAAATAAAATTCACAGGAATTACAAGGTTTTTCTAAATTGTAATGAATTACATTCCACCTTAAGTTTTAATAAATATATTTCAAATGTTAATATACGTTAAAGGGAATTTATGAAAGAAGATACTTTTTACGCTTTAAAAATTAGGACACATTACAATTTAGTTAAATAAACATTGTAAGCAACAACAGAATTTTGTTCTATGAATATTTTATTAAATTTTTATTAATTTTTATTTTTACTAATTTTATTAAATATTAAATAAATATTTCATTAAGTTTTTGGTCCAATTAATTTAGAGTGATGAGTAATTGCATTCCTTGAAAAATTAACCAAAAAATTATTTCCTGAAAATATTTTTTAACAAAGTAATTATTGACAGCAATAAATATTGCCGTAAAATCAATTTGAAATAAACGAAATTTCTGGTTTTTATTTCCATTAAATATTTCTGACTTAGATTGAATGAAGTTTGTTTTTAATGGAGGGTGTGGGAAATGGTCGAGGATAATCATGCATCTGGAACAAGTTTCCCACGACTGAATTTAAATTTTCGCGCCTAACCTGTACACTAAATTAAGACACACCCCCATTGAATTGCGCAGGTCTGGCAGTTCTGTTTACTACAGCGCAGGAACTAGTGTTCAAATTTGTAGTTCGCCAAAACAAGAAAAACGTGTCGCAACACGGCAGCCGGTTATTCCTGTGTTTTGACAAATTTTGATCATGTTCAAAAATAAAGAGAAACTTTTGAAAGAAGCTAACGACAGATTATTAGTGAAGCTAGTTTTTCAAAATCCATGCTTATACATTAAATATGTGCAACAAACTTCGCCAGCTGGATTTGTGGAACAGACATGGGTTCAAATCGCATTAACCCTCAGGAAATTAGGCAGTTCAATTTTAGGTATTCTATTAATTATGTTCCTATAAATTATATCCCCTTTTTTCTTCTCCTTAAATTTACAAAATCACCTAGAACACCTTAACTCATATTTTTTTCTCTTTTTTCCCAATAAATCTCCAATTTAACACGTTTACATAAAAATAAAAATTATAAATTAATTTTTAACACCTATTTCTTTCCGATAAAATTGACAAGTATCACAAATTATCACCTATTTACATGTCACCTATTTCGATAATTTGTAACCTTCTTACCTTTTCTTAAATTTGATTTTTTAAAAATATCACTATTTTAGACTCTTTAAACCGTTTCTGTTAAGTAGTTCGACAAATTTGTGCAAATTAGTAACATTATCACATACTTTTAACAACTAATTGAAATATGTAAAATCAATTTTAATTTTCAATAGGCTTAATATTTACTCATAACAATTTTAATTGATGTATGTCAATTTAATTATATTTTAATTAATTCTAATTAAATATTATTTCCTAGTTTTAACCTATTTGGACTTATTTTTCTCTTTTATCATTTTCATCGGAAAGCTTAGATTTTTTCCAATGAAGTATTGTTAAAATAAAAGTGTCCAAACAATGGGTTTTTCAGGGTGTATAATGAATAAAAAATTAATATAAAGCAATCCATTTTTTGTAACCTATTATATTCATTTTGAAAATCTGGAAAAAAATTTAGAAGGTCTGGAAAACCTGTAAATGTGAGGGAAATCTTTTTTAGGATAATTGTAGACACCCTGTTTTTGAGAACATGTAAAGAAACCAATTTCCTTACCTTGTTTTTTTCTTTTCTCAAGAATCTATTGTTTCTCCACTTTCATTTGTACAATATTTTATTGGAAAAAAATTTTACCTTTCCGATAAATAAGAAAAAGAAGTGCCCACTTGAGTTAAAAGTGAAATGTGAGACTTAAGTTTGAAAAAGAAGGGTGAACAATTTTTTTATTTTGGAAAATTTCTTACTTTCAAAAGTACTGAATTTGAAAGAAATTAATTTTCTTCAATTTACAGATCCTCAAAAACGTTGGAAGCAGCTAAAAATTTCATTTAATGGGCACCTTAGGAATGGGAATACTAGGTGGTACTTATACAGTGATATGTTCTTCAAGGCGCAACACACCAATGCGAAGAAACCTTCCACAGTTCATACTCCATTTTTAATACCAGGTTTGTGACTTTATTATCATTTACTTTGAGACAATCTCTCAAGCTTAAGAACGTACAAGTTTTTAAATTTTTTTTACAGTTCTTTAATAAAATGCAACTTGTGTTGATTGCTACTTATTGTACAAAATATTACGAATTACTTTTTATTCATTTTATTTCAAAGCAAAAACTGTTCTATTCTCGAACAAATATTTAGAAAGTTTTAATTTTTAACATGACAGGCTTCGAAGTGACATACTTTTTTACTTATTTGATACTTTTTTTGGCAAGGCTACTTTTTTACTACTAATTTTGGCCAAAACCTACTAAATGCTACTTTTTTCAAAAAATAATTGTTAAAAATTGCAGAATTCAAGAATTTTAGATCTTAGCGAAATTTTTTATTCTTAAAATCTCGTCAAATTGATGATTTATTATTGGTCGCGTGAACTGCTGTTTTATATAATTATTTTTTACACGAATTTTCATTTTTCATTTTTTGAAATAGCATTTAATATAATTTCTTTTTAAACGACCTTTTACTCAATAGAATTTTTAATTTGGCAAATTTCTCAGCAAATTCTTTTTAACAAAATTTCTATTTTACCTATTTACTCAACTGTTTTTTAAAAATAATTCTAATTTAACCGAATTTTTAATTTAGCAGAATTCTCATTCAATATTTTAAGTAATTCGAATTTATAAATGTCATAATTTCCAATTCAACGAATTTTCATTTCTTCGAATTGTTATTTGCACAAATTGTCATTAGATAGAATTCTTGAAAATCCGAATTTTCATTTGTCCGAAAATTAAAAAGGCTGAACAAATAATCGACAGAAAGATTTTGGCGTGAATTTTATTATTTATTTTTAAAAAATTATTTAAAAAAATTGTGATTGGTAAATTTTAAAATTCACGCCAAAATCTTTCTGTCGATTGTTTGCTTGGCCCTTTTGCAGTTTCGGAGAAATGAGAAATTAATTATTTTTTGAGAATTCCATCTAATCACAATTTGAACGTACAATAATTTGAAGAAATAAAGATTCGGTGAATTGGAAATTCTACAGGGTTTCTACGGTTTTAAAATTTCAAAATTCCCTGATATTTCCAGGTTTTCCAGACCATTTTTCAAATTTCCAGACCAAAAATAATATTATTGTAATATGTAAAATTATTCTTACAATTTTGAAATTTAATCTCTTCTCAATTTTTACAAGTTTTATAAAAAAATAAAAGATTACCTGACACCATTTATTAATCAGCAATAACATTCAGTTTATTAAAATTTCAATTATTTTTATAAATACTATAGGTTGAAGACTTATTTTCAACAGATTACAATGTTTTCAATGTTAAATTCCAAATACCGGGATTTTTTCCGTAAGTCGAGTAATGAAAATAAAAGTAATTGAATTTACAAAATATTTCAAAATGAAACTATTGAATTTTGAAAAGAATATAATTTGAATATTTTGATTTTTAAAAATTATTCAATTTATTCAAGAATTATTAAGAATCTTACGTAATATCTTTGTAATAAGCTTAAAAATAAAATGGCCTTAAAGTTTCACGTACGCTTGGTCATGTGTCGTTTTGCTGGTTCTAAATTAAATTCATTTAAATTAATAAATGCGTTCACTTAAAATCTAATAGTTGAAATTAATACCATAAGATATTTATTAATTATTTCAATTTATCAAGATTTATAAGAAATAGACATATTCAATAAAGAATACAATTTATAAAATGAAAAAATTTTTTGCAGGTCCCGGTACATCGAAAACATCAAATTCAAATTGGCATCAGACAAAAGATTTTCATGATAATTTGGAGAGTTCCTCTTCTTATGATGTGGAAATGCCTGACGAGGAGAATTGTATACAAGATTTCATTGAAAATGATGCCATGAAGCATGACTTTTCTTTTAAGTATGAAATGATAACTTTTGATGATGAAATCATAACAGTGGATGATGATTCGTCACTTTGCGGATCGCAATCGTCAAGCCAATCTTCGAGTGATTCCACGATTTAAAAACCTTTGCCATTCTCAGTCGTATCGTCAATTTCTGAAATATGTTCGCAATTCTCCAAATCTAAATCATCAGGCCAATCTTCGATGGATTCTACAATTGAGGAAACTTCTGTGCCAATGCCTGTAGCATCGGTAGTTTCTCCGCAATATTCGCCATTCTCTGGTTTGCGAGGAAATAGCGAAATTAATACCAGAGATCTCGCAGAAGCAGGATTTCCAACATTTCATCAGCCGTCACCTCGAACTTCACCTTCAGTCCTCCAATCATCAGCAGTCTATCAGCCTCCAATACTGCAATTGTCACAATTACCAGCCGCATCGGTGGTTTCTCATATAAATTCATTCTCCGGATCTGAATCATCAGGCCAATATCCGACGGTTTCCACAATTGAAAGACATTTCGTGCCATTGGCAGCAACATCGACGATTTCTCAAATACCTTCACCAGTCCATGATTTGCAACCATCAGCTTCAGATTTTTTGACGATTCCCACAACTTCGGAAAACTCGGTATCGTTTCCTCTGACTCAATCACTTTTTCAACCACCTTTCGAAGTTCCTTCGACTTCTTTTTCGACTAAAAATAATGCTATTTCTATGGCAAAAAATATAATAAAGTAAAGGATATTCCGAGAAGTCAATTGCATAAAAAAACTAAGGTTATGCCTCCCATTGATCGTTTCGCGAGGATAAACGCCCAACGAAGAAAAACTGAAACATCCGGCATAAATGAAACCTTAAGGCAATCGACTCGTGAGTTACATAAACTAACAACCGTTTTTACAAACTGTATGGCTATTCAACAACAAGTTTCAGAAAATCAACTACATAAAGACAAAGGGATGGAAAAAGAAAAGTGTACAGTTCGAGGGGATTCTCTTTTTAACGTATTTGCTCATAAGTGGGAATCTTTAACGGATGAGGAGGAAGAAGAGTTGTTTCACGATATTTTGGACATCATGATGAAACGTCAAAAAGAATGAATGTACCACTTTCATCTGCTCATTTTTATCTTTAACTTCGTCATTTGTGACAATTACCAAAGTTATTTACGAATATTAATAATATTTCTTTATGAATACTAGTAATATTTCTCTTTGCTCGTTTACATTTTATCATTTGCTACTACCATTGACGGTTTATTGTTCGCATTTTTGTAAGCATTTTGTTTTTTTTTATGTATTTTATTGTCTTAGTTTTATTATTATCTTTAAAGGAAAAAGAAATACGAAATCTGTGTATTCTGTTGTATTTATTGCAGTACATGAAATAAAGAGTCAAATCCTGATAAAAAAATAATAATTATATTTTGACATATTTTAAAAGTCCCAGTTTACCACAATAGGTTAAAAGTTAAACTTATGCAAAAAAGTCAAATCTAAGTTATTAATTCGAAAATAAAAAAAACATTTTTTAAATTACTTTTTTCTGATTTCCAACAACAAATCGACGTATTTTATAATTACTAACACAAAAATTAACTTAATTATTAACGTTTTCTGTTTTTATTAATAAATGAATGTAGTTCTTCGGAACAAGAAATTCTATTTTTGACAGGAATGTGCTGCCACATTTCCAATAAAACCATCAATCTATCATTTGAAACAGTGCTTTTCTTGGATGGTAAATCTGTTACGGCTGAAGAAGTTTCGGAGCAGGACACTTCCGGAACATGGAAATGGGAGAAGATATCTGAAAAGACAAAGTATGACCATTTTGAGTTCCGAAATTTTGACTTAGAAGCCGTCAGGAGCAACCCCAAAAACCGATTTTAAAGTTTCTTTTGATATATATATATATATATATATATATATATATATATATATATCAAAAATGCTTGAATTTTATTGAAAAATTTTAGTGATCATCCTAATTGTAAAAATGTATGTATGTTCACCTTCTTCCGCTTCTTCTTCTTCTTCTTCATCTTCCCCTCCTACTTCCTCTTCTTCAATTTCACGTTGACCTGGTAGTTGAAAAGTTTCATTGGTACTAAAACAAAATAATTATTATTAACATTAATGTAATATTGAATTTTATAAACAATTTATTACTCTAAAAAATTTCAGGGGTTTCAAACTAAATTTTTTCCGAATTTGTCATTTAAATTACAATTTCTTTAATACTTCTACAAGTTCAATATTTCTTTTCTACTTACAGTTGATGGCATTACAAATAACGCCAGCAATTAGTAAATTTCATAATGAAGGTAATTTAAAAACTTGATCTCAATTGAATAACAATAAAGGAAGTAATATTTTATTAAAAAGTGATCAACATTTTGAATCAGAAGCAAAAAAAAAATCAAAAAAGTCAAGAAATTTTGAAAATTTTAGAAAACGTTCAAATTTTTGTTTACAGCTAAACAATTATTTTAATTAATTGAAAAGACATTCCAGAAAATTGTGGAAATTAACATTTTTTTGTATTTATAATTGCTAGCCCAAGGGTATCCTTACTTCATGTGGTCTACCACTTCTTGCAGGAAGCACATTTCGTTGTAGTACTCCCACTGAACTTCTTCTGGAGCGGCGGAACCAATCGGAATGTACGTTTTTTTTTGACCTAGCCTTAGAGTAATCGTCTCTTAATTTCTTCCATCTATTGGAAGCTTGTTTCACTGCAATAAAAAAGGCACGTTAGAGAAATTGACGATATATGTGGGCGTCAGCATAAAAAGGGCCCATTCTGGCACTATTGGAGTTATTTATATACGGGTCAATGTCCCGAATTGTCATTGTCCCGAACGATACCATGGAAAAATTGTTGGCGGGAAATTTTTTCCATGGTTACTTTCGGAACAATGACATCCCAAGACAATGGCAATTCGGGACAATAAAAATTAGGTACACGGGCAATTTGGGACATTGATAACTCAGGACAATGACAATTCAGGACATTGTAAATTTCAGGGATTAACATTTTTGTTATTGGAAACTTTAATTCGATTTTATTTTAATTTATGCAAATTTTTTAATATATTTTAATTTCAATTTATTCTTATTTTTTAATAATTCAAACTTGATTTCAATTGATCTAAAATTTAATCTACGCAAATTTTTATCTACTAAACTGTTCCTATTTATCGAAATTTCTATCAATCTTGATATTTATTTGACAAAAACTTACACGGAAGGAAATTTTATTCGACTCTAAATTAAATTCATACAAATTTCTCACTATCTAAAGTAAAATTAATTCTAATTTTAATCAATATTAAATTGAAACGAATAAAATTTCAATTTATTAAAATTTTAATCTATTCAAATTTTAGTATATTCTAATTTTTTAGCTAACTGAAATTTTTATTGATCCTGACTTCATTTATATTACCTACATTGTTTCTTATGGAGACAAAATTATAATTTTTATTCAAATGCAACTTTTAATTGTTTAATGTGTAAAAAATAAATTCTTTAACCTTCAACCAAAAAGCATTTAAAATTTAAATTAGTTTTTTAATTCAAAATACGAAAATATAAAGTTCATCTAACTTTTGCTTCGATTGTTTGTCGGATTCTTCTTTAATTTACCGCTTTATACTTTTGGATGCAATAATATTTTGTCAAATATTAAATATATTGTTTAAAAATTTTTCATTTGTCAAAATATGCTTAAAAGTTTCAAAATATTTAAAATAGTCAATTAAGTTTTTTAGAACTTTTCAGATTGTTTTAACAAAGTCAATGAAAAATTGTACACTATAAATATTTGCTAAAATATTGACCGTCTAAAAGAAGAAAAACTAATTATAAAATTCGAATGCACTTTTTTCTTTGAATTGAACTGCTTAAAAACCGGAAATAAAAATTAAAGAAACAGGCACAGGATACCTACCTTTGATGTTGAAACCGGTTTTTTCATTTAACCCCCTTGTCACTTCCCTCCAAGCTTCCGCTTTAAGAACATTATCTCTATATTCTCTTAATGACTTATCATATAAAATAGGGTACTTTTTGACCAAAGTCATTAAGAGAATATTGAGATCATTCATTTTATCTGCAAAAGAAATAAATTTCGTACTTTTCGTGACTTTTTGTAATATTTAATTATTTGCATTTAAAACATTTCAAAAAAACGATTCTTTTCAAAAGCTTTAATAAAATTATTTAAAAAGTTATGTTATGTACACATAACCTACAATTCTTTTATTTTCAAAACAATATTAATAATTAAATGCAATCAGCAATTGCAACAATTTTTTTTAATTTATTTAATTTATAATTAAAAATTAAATACATACTACGTTGTTCAATTTTAAACAAAAAATTTAAAGAGCCGGCACCACCGCACCAAGAGAACGTAAACTGACGGAAACCAGTATTTTCAACTGCGCCTCAGCGACAGTTGGCAATACGTTGCGCGCGCATCCAAGTACAATAAATTTGTACTTGGACTTGCATCTATTGTAGAACCTCCTTAATGAACATCTGAATTTACAACTTGTTTAAAATTATTTTTATTAATATTTAGAGGTCGCGCTAGTCCGTTTTTCATGAAAAAATGGATTTTAACCGTCATTGATCTGTTAAATAAGTAAAAACGAAGCTAAAATATTCAGACCATTTACAAATTTACTCTCATAATATCACCAAATGTGGAAGTTGTATAAAACAAATAGATAAATATGATTTGGAGGTTATTACAGACCTGAAAAGATAAAATTTGAAATTCATTTGTAAAAATTGGTCCAAAAAGTTAATAAATCTCATTTCAATTAACTCTATTTTTTAATTTTTAAATAATGAGTTTAAAAACATTATTTAAAAGTTACTCCAGACGTAAATTGCAAATCAAATGTATATTTAGTAATGTTACTTTCTCTATTACTACTTTTTTAAAAATTAAGCATATTTTATTTGCATTATTTTCAATATTTAAATATGTAGGCGTCGTAAAAGAATAAATAATTTAAGTTTTCTTTGACCACGAAAGCTATTTAATTTAAAAAAATTTTTTTTTAATATAACTTTTCAAACATGCACTTATTGCATGTAATCTATAATACCAATTTTGTAAGA